GCTGGACAAAGGATGAGGATGTTCCTCATTTTCCTTTTCCATTGATCAGCTGGACAAAGGGTGAGGATGTTCCTCATCCCCTTTTCCACTGGGATTAGCTGGATGAAGGATGAGGATGTTCCTCATTGCCCCCTTTTCACCACCCCTTCCCAGACAAAACTGGGATCAGCTGGACAATGGATGAGGATGTTCCTCATCCCCTCTTTTCCATCCCCCTTTCCATCCTCCATCTCTTCCCAGAGAAGACTGGGATCAGCTGGGTAAAGGATGGGGATGTTCCTCATCCCCTTTTCCACTAGGATCACCTGGATAAAGGATGGGGATGTTCCTCATCCCCTTTTCCACTGGGATCACCTGGATAAAGGATGGGGATGTTCCTTATCCCCTTTTCCATTGGATCAGCTGGACAAAGGGTGAGGATGTTCCTCATCCCCTTTTCCATTGGATCAGCTGGACAAAGGGTGAGCATGTTCCTCATCCCCTTTTCCACCACCCTTCCCAGACAAGACTGGGATGCTGCAGCTGGAAAATCCTGTGCTAAACCTGTGGGAGGGACTGATGTCCTGGGAGGCTGGGACAGAACTTTTGGAAGCTCAGAGCTCCCAAAATTGAGTTTCCCAAAAAAGAGTTGCTCATTTTGGGAGCAGGCTGCCTGGGAAGGCTGGGCTTGGAGTGGGAATCACTGGAATCCCCCTCAGAGCTCCTGGTGGTGCTGACAGACCCTTCATCCCCCAGCTGACAGCGTGAGGAGGGAAGCGAGCAGAGCAGATCCTTTATCAGCTGCTGCATTTTCTGCTCTCCACACCCAAATTCTTCCCCCCCCCCAGCTCACCTTCCTGGCAGGCAGCAAGCAAAAAACCTCAACCATCCCCCCCCAGGGCCACAGCCCTGCAGAGTTTGGGAACTTCCCAGCTCTTCAAGCTGGATTGAGTCTGGGGGCTCTGAGCAGTTGGCACAACTCTGGCTCTGCCAAACACAGCAGAACCAGCACCAAAGGGGCCCAAATCAGCTCAGAGCCACCCCCAAGGCTCCACAAACCACTCAGGAAAGGGGTGGAGGAGCCACGTGGCCCCAAGATGAGATTTTCCAGCTGATTTCAACCCCCAGAAAAGATTTCCCGAAGAGATTTGGCCAGAAGGGAAGTCGTGACTGAGCTGATTTGCACTCGGTGATTTTGAGAGCAGCACAAAACCCCAGCTGGGACTCCCCTTCTTCCTGTGGCCCTAGAGGAAAGCCCAGGGCCCTTCCAGGCCAGTGTCACAACGTGATTTACTGGCCACAGGTCCTGCTGAGGACTGGCCACAGCCACAGCCCGCATCTGTCACCAAACCCCCTCTGGAGCATCACCTGAAGGCATCAACATCCTCAGAGGGCGTGGGAAATGAATTGGTACAAAATTCTCCGAGTTTGATACAAGTTTGAGATTTGTTTACATACAACCTACTATTTTTGTTTATGTAGTATTCAACCCTCCATACTATGTAAACCTACTATTTTTGTTTACGTAGTAAGTAAACATCCATACTATGTAAGCATACTATTTGTGTGTAAACAAATCTCAAACTTCTATCAAACTCGGAGCATTTTCTACCAGCTCATTTCCCACAAGAGGGAACTCGCTGGTGGGGCAGGAAACGAGGCAGGGGTGCCAAAGAGGCAGAGCTAAAACCCAGCGTGGAGTCTCAGCCAGTGAAACAAGGTCAGAAGAACAAAAAGAAGAGGAAGGGGTGGCTCTGCTCAGCACACTCCCACCACGAGAGCTCCGTGTCAGCTCCATCTCCCTGCGAGGCTCCAGAGCTCACAGTGTTCTGCAGTTCCCAGCCTTCCTCCCCTGCGTGCTGTGCTCCTCTGGGGGAATCCAGGAATTCCCTCTGGCTGCCCTGGGAGCCTGGCAGGGCTCAGGAACCCCCCTGGACAGAGCCCCCAGAGACACTGGCTGTGATCTCTGGCCATGGAAAAGAGTTTTCAATCTTACAGCATGAATTACAAGCTCTGAGGGTTCGATATCAGTAATAATTAAGTGTGGCACAGGTGCAAAAGTAAAATTTTAGGATTCTAGATATGGGGTCCAAAGGGGACAAGATGGAGGAAATTGGGTGTGCCTTGTCCTTTTCCTCCTTCTTCATGCCCTCCATGTTTCACTGTGGTGTTGGCATTTTTCTGTTGGTTCGGGCTGGTGACACACTGTCCAACGTAGGTAATAACTATTAACACATTATTATAAATATAGCACAGGGAGTTTCTGGTATTTAATGTTTGTCACATCCCACTGAGGGCAGAGCCCCACACGCTGCCCTGCAGGACAGAGCTGGGCAGGGCAGCAGAACATGTTGGAGATAAACAGAATAAACAACCTGGAAACCAGCACAGACCAATTATGGCTTCTGCTTTAACAAGGAGGCAAAAAAACAGAGACTTTCTACAATCTCGAAAGCATCAACGACGCAGATTCCGACACTCCTCTGCACACCAGGGCAGCACTGCAATGGGGATTCAAAGGGCTCAGGCTCCCCAAAACGGGATCCCCACCTCTGCCAGCAGCTCTGCAATCCCCAGGGAGGGAGAACCCCCCCTTTATCAGCCCCAGCAGAACCACAAAATCCTCCTGCACACGGCTGGTGAAGGTCTGAGCCCTCTGCAATCCGCCCGGAAT